AAAAATTTTTAAAAAAGTATAATATATATATATCAGGCCTTGTTAAGAAGCGTTACGCAGCTCGCATTTTGCCTGCGAAAAGGCGATTTGCCTACGCGTTCAGCAGTTATGCGTTCAGCAAAAACTTTTATCTTTAAGAATATTTAAATTATCTTTTTATATCGTTTATGTGACGTTCATTCAGAAGTATTAAAGTCGTAAGTAAAAGCATTTAACCGCAATTGTAAACTAATAGATTTTTTGTTAAAGAAACAATTTGTTTAATAATTTTTTTTTTGTTTTTAAAAATTACTTAGAGAAAATAAAGTGTTTTATGTTTAAACTTTTCATCATATTTAATTTTAAATATTAGATTTCATAAGTTTATAAACAATCAAATTTAAAAAAAGAAATATTTTCAATTTATTTTAAAATTTAAATATTTTTTTAATAATTATAATTTTAGTAAATAAATTTATTAAATTTAATTAAAATTCTTTCATTAATTAAACGAAAGAATTTTAATTAAAATTTTAATTAAAACTTGAATTAAATTTATCAAAACTTTTTTTACTTTAGTAATTTTTTTAATAAAATTACTAAAGTAAAAAAAGATTTGATAAATTTAATTCAAGTTACTTTAAAATGTTCGTATTACATATAACTTTATTTTAATTTTAGTTAAGTTTCAGGTAAGTTCCAAATACTGGTCTGAAAGATGCGCTTACAAAAGTGCATTATTTTCCAGTTTTTATTTTTCCATTATTTTACAGTTTCATTCATTATTTACAGAAGCCCATTATTCATTTTATAACTACAAGTTAATAAATGACGTCAATACTTTTAAACTCGAGTTATAAATGTTATGTTTGGGTTTTCCCTTTGCCGTTTGCCAAAGAATTTTTTTTTATAAAACAAACCAAGGACGTATTAACAATACGTCATTGAACAAACTAAAATACAAACCTATTAAAAATAACGTGATCAGTAAATAAACTCTTTAAAAACCCAACTTATCTTTATTTTATTTTAAAAACAAAACTAGTACTTGAGCTATAAATATAAGATACATAAATTTCAAAATTATAATGATATTTGTTAAAAACAAATTCTGCTTATAACATCTGAAAACCGAAAACACAATTTTTTTTTGGATTGAGAAAAAAAATATCAGGTTTCACTGTACATAAAAATAAAATAGTTTAATGGAAATAAAAAAAAACAAAGCCGAAAAAGCAGTAAATTTCGTTTCTTTACAACATTTATTTTATCAAAACAAACGTTTTTTTTAAAAGGGAAAACCCAATCTATGCGTTTAGTTATAAGTACATTTAAATCCCTTTAAGAAAATCAACCATAAACAAGTGTTAAATTTAAATTATTTAAAAAAAAAAATAAAAAAAAAAACAACCTTAAAACGAATGTTTAAAAGCAAAAAAATTAAGTTTAAATAAGTATAAGATTTTAATACAAGAAGACTTTTTTTTAACCAACATTGAATTTTTTTTTTATATATAACAACATTGTACAATTTAAAGCTATTTCGTTTCAAAGACTAACAATAGTTTTTAATGTCATTTTAAATTTAATTACAATGAAGTAAAAACGCAACTGACGTAAATTAACTTTTAACAATGTAAATATCTTTATTGAGTAAAGTTACTTTTATTCACGTTCAGCTTTTCCGTTACGCAGCGAAATCTCGTAACAAGGCCTGATATATATATATATATATATATATATATATATATATATATATATATATATATATATATATATATATATATATATATATATATATATATATATATATATATATATATATATATAGGTATGTCACATGAAAATTTTAAATTCATCAAATTATAGGTTGTTATATATCATTAAAATGAGCTTAATGTCAATATTCTATAAGTGAAAAATTTTTCAAAATTGAACCACCCTACAAAAAGTTATGACGTTTTAAGTACCAATTTTTTGATATTAGGATTTGTTGAAGAAACTGTGGTCAAAATAAAGTTTTTATTAACTAAAATTATTATAACTTAACCAATTCTTATCCAAATGATTATATCTTGGTATCAAAAGATAGATACAAGAGTCATCTACAAATTTATAAAAGTTTTTAGATAATGGGCGCATCCGGGGGTAAGAGGGGGCACAAAACTACTATCCTTACCGGCAATAAAGACTTACTATATTTATAAAAAAGTGTTTTCTTTTAATGAAAATGTGAATTTTTATATGCAAGATGTTTTTGTAATTAGCTATCAGATCACAATCAAATATAGAAGACTCATCATTGCCTTTGGGTGGATGTAAGGGTGATGGTTTCATACACCCTATTATCAAAAATGACTCTTTATATAAATATTTATCTTTATAATTAAAAAGAAATCTAGTATTCAAATCAAAAATTATATTTTACTACTTTACAAAATCACTAGCAGCGCACCCTTTGTTTCAAGGGTGTAGATGGGCGAGGGGGCGTGTCGTTGCCCCCCCTCTTCCTTTTTTTTTTGACAACCTAAAAAAAAGAAGCTATTTTTAATGAGATTCGAAAAAATATTTAAATGCAATTAAAATAAACACTTTAATTTAAAAACATCTTTTACCAAAACTCAAAATACACCACACAATGCTTTGTGATAGTTATAGATGGTTCCCCCTCTGACCTAAAAAAGAATTTCAAAAACAAAAAATGTTTTATAATATTATTCTAATTAGTTTGCGTCTTGGCTTTTAGTTAATGATTAAGATATTAAATTCCATTAATGAAACTATATATTAATCATTGTTAACAATAGACACAACGTGAACGTAAGCCAGAGCCGTCTATCAAAAAAATTTGCAAGTTCCACTACTCGCTATATATATTTTATGCAAAGTTTCACTACTTGCTATACTTTTTTTTTGCAAGTTCCACTACTTACTATATTTTTTTTTTGCAAGTTCCACTACTCGCTATATTTTTTTTTTTTAAAGTTCCACTACTCGCTATATACTTTTTTGCAAGTTCCACTACTTGCTATATTTTTTTTTTGCAAGTACCACTTCTCGCTGTACATTTGCATATTATTGATATATATAGATTTGCATATTATTGATATATATATATAAATATATATATATATATATATATATATATATATATATATATATATATATATATATATATATATATATATATATATATATATATATATATATATATATATATATATATATATATATATATATATATATAGAGAGAGAGAGAGAGAGAGAGAGAGAGAGAGATAGAAAGTCAAAAAATAGTAAAATAAAGTAGTAAGATAATAAAATGCATTTTTAATTATAAAAAAAATAAATGCAACATATTTACATTAGGAAAACATCAACTCACCGGATACAATGTCAGCAACTTGCTGGAATTTTTTCATATAATCATCAACTGCTTCAGTATCATTTTCTTCTCTAGTCCAATAAGAAATAGTGTATATATCTTTTTGAGCTTTTTTAAGTTTTTCTACTCTGCCATTATACAAGACTGTCATTGCTGTATCGGAATCATACCATTCATGGCAAAGATTTCTCCCAACAATTCTTTCACACATAACATCATTTAAATCATCAATTTGCTTAGTAGATAAGTTTTTAAACAAATTCAGAATTTCACTGATAGTTAATAATGTTAATTGTTGCTCTAACTTTCTTTTTTCTTTTTCATCAATTTTTTGGCGTTTTATAGTCTGTCTTTTAGAAATCTCAGCTCTAATTTCCATTGCACTGAACATTCCCATTAACTCTTCACTATCTATGTTATGAAGTTTTCTTTTTCAAGTGCTTCTGTAATGGTAATGGAAAAATAGCGCTTATACTGTCGATTTAAAACCACTTCTATTGCATTGAGGCAAGCCAAGATCATGGCAATGAGCTTGTCATCAATTCTACATATTTTTGTTAATGGTTCTAACACATTTGCTTTGAGAGCATTTCCAAAAAAATATGTTGTTCTGCAAAATATTGCAGCTGGATCGCATTTGCAGTCTTTAATTGTTTGCACAACATTTTTAACAATCTGGATACCACCAACATGATCAAAATATGCTTTCTCAGATGACACATAAAACATTGTCATCCACGGGCCTGTAAGAAGTTTTCCAAATAAAGCAAGTAGACACATTTGCTTTATAGCAGTTGTATTACAAAATGCTACTCGCAGAACCCTTTGTAAAGTTTTTATTTTTACTGTTCCTATAGTTAAAAAATGTAAAAATTTGTTATAATGTTTTATAAAAATAAAACAAGTGTGGAACAGAATGTAAAGGCGATTTCCACGATACCTTGGAATGATACCTCGTGGTAGTTTATTATTGTCTAAAAAATTAACAAATTCCTTTGGGTCACCTTTACCATCTTTGAACCTCATCTTATTCATAGCCAAAACAATTTTTGCAGCTATACAATCATTTCCATATAATTCGCAGCTATCAAGCTCTAAGACTTTAATGCTGAACGACACGATGTGGCAATTGTGTCAAGAGGGTGCAAATGACAGTTTAATTCATTGAGACTTTTACCCCAAGTTTCACCAATTTTTCTAATTGTAAGATGGTTAACAGATACTCTGTCCGACATTGTGTTTGAAATATTTGATATGACCATACGACGACATTCTTCAAAGGGTTTCAAGTGAAAGTTTGAATATAAAAAAGCTGTATGATCCACTTCGTTACATATAATCTAGAAGACAAATGAGACAACCGGTTAGTTAATTTTTTCTTCCTAGGGCTCAATTTTTCTATTGAAGTCTGCCTAGTAGTTAAATTTGCTTCATGTCCAGCAGAACATGAAGGTTCATTACGTATCAGAGATGTGACACTGCTGTGTTCTGACAATGACAAAACAGAAGAATGTGATATTGTGTAATTAGTGTTACTTAAGATAGGCTGCGATAAAATTGTAATCAGTGGTTCACGGTTTATAAAGGGCTCATTACAAAATGCAACACAACTTTCATATTTTCTTAAAATTTTTATATGACTGGAGCAAATATTCAAGTTAAAATGCTCATTGACTTATGCAACTGTTTTGCTAAACAACTCACCATTGCTAGTATAAAGAAACAGAACGTGTCCATTCATGCACCCAATATTTGTGTTAGATTTAAATGTTTTTTGAATTCTCCTTTAAATATGTGTCGCCCATTATACCATTAAAGCATTAAATAGTTACAACTGATGAGTTTTTTAATAAATTTAGGAATGTAAAACAAATCAAAAAAATAATATTTAAATAAAAGGCTCAAAGTTTATTTGTCTTAAATATGTATATCACTAAAAAAAAGTTAAATGATCCTTACCACTCACTTTGACACTTACAATAACAGTACCTGTTTGCCACTCAGAATAACTGGTACAAATTTTGCAAGTCAAAATATTTCCATATTAAGTAATAACCATGAGATATATTAGTTTAATATTAAAAAAATCTAAAGAAAAAATAATTGTATATATATTTTTGACAATATCAATAAATATAATAAATTGCATTTCAAATTGTAAATGGTATTAATATATGTAACTAAACCAAAAGTTATATCAATATACATACAACATAGTTATGACCAAAAAGTAAACATGTAGCCCAATAGACCATTTGAAAATTAAGCAAAAATTAATTGTATTAAAATTACACTTTTCTTGCGTTAGTATTAGTATTTTGAAACCAACAACCCCTTTTTTCAACCCCCCTCCTTTGCCCGCAAATAATTTCAGATTAAGGAAAATAGGTACCAAAAGTGCGCCCCAAAATAGACTGCCTGCGCCCCATTTTTTTTCAAGGAAATTTGGCAGACAAATAAAAAATGTTTAAACTTAAATGGCTGCAAAAGATAGTTAATTGCTGTCTATATCTTCAATATTTGCTGGATGCACAAAGTACAACAAAGTTTTGTATGTCAATAAATCAACTTACAAAGTACGTAATAGTAATCAAAAGACACATATTAATAAAGTATAATCATTCTAGTTTTTAAAAAATATCTATGTTAATATGAAATTCTAAAAAACAAGGCAACAAAACACTGCACAACCTACCTCTCCAAATGTGAACTTAAAAAAGCGTGGCACAGAATTTTAGCACATTTATCGGTTCCGTAAAACGCGGATATCGGCGTACCTAATATATATATATATATATATATATATAATATATATATATATATATATATATATATATATATATATATATATATATATATATATATATATATATATATATATATATATATATATATATATTTATATGGGCAATTCCACGTGAGTGGCGGTCATAATATTTGACTTGCTTTAAGTTATTGAAAATAAATCAGAAACAGAAATGACTTGAAACTTTCAAGAACTGTAAAATACTGTTATATAATTTTGTATGTAAAAGTTACAGCATTGAAGTCTTCAAGTTTTTTTAAAATTTAACTCAAAGTAGAGTTACGGTTGTAACGCTTACTTTTTATTACTTCTGAACAAAACAATTTTGTCAGACCTAATGCTGCGTACGGGATAGTGAAAAAAAAATCTTTTCATGTGTGTGTTTATTTTATGCTTATTCATCGTAGTTTCTTAGTTTTCATATACATATATATATATATATATATATATATAATATATATATATATATATATATATATATATATATATATATATATATATATACATATATAAATATATGTATATATATATATATATATATATATATATATATATATATATATATATATATATATATATATATATATATATATATTTATATATCTTTAGGAAATATAAAAGAGATGTTATTAACTTTTTGAAAAAATTGATGTTTTTTCTCTTTTTCTTAAGCATTCTCAAATATTGCAGTTAGTTCATATCTAAATAAAAACATACAAATAGCTGTTATTGGATGGTCAAAAATATCATCTTGGTCTGTTTCAGCTGGGTTTGGTCACTTTACTTCATCAAGCATATTCAATACATCAGATTTTAAAGTATCACAATCTGGGATATACCAAGTGTTTACTACAATAACTTTTTCTGGTGCTCAAAATGGTGTTTTTAAAGTAGCATTAGTTAGTAATAATGACTTAGTTAACAGTCACCCTGGCCTTTCCAGCTCTTTTCAAGATTCAGTTGGATACAAAAGTTTATCAGTATATGGAACAACTCGCTTGTTCTCTGGTGATGTTGTATCAGTTTATGTATTTTCTGAGTTAGACCAAAGTTGGATAATTCGGGGAGGTTCTGAATCAACATTTTGTATACAATTTGTTAGCTTTTACAACCAAGCTCCTGGTTTTTCTTCATATTTGACTCAAGAATATTACATAGAAAACAATGATTGGAGTAGTATTTTAAAATGGAATGCTAAAGGTAAGCCTGGCTTGTTTAAGAGCAGAACTGGGTTTTCTCAAGATGTTGGAAAGTTTGTATCTATTTGTGATGGTATTTATCAGTTTTCAGCAAATATTCTAATTTCTGCTTCTAAGAGTGGTCATTATGATATTGGTATTCTATTAAATGGGGTACCAGATGGTAGCATTACTGGAGCTGATATTGGGTCAGATCCACAGAGTTTGTTATTTTCTCTTAGTATGTCTATATCATTAAAGTTAAGTATCGGAGATTCAGTGGTCATCGTAAGCAGAGGCACAGAGAGCTATATTATTAAAATGCAAAGTGGCTTTTTTGGAATATTGGTTAATAAAGGTGGATCAACACGAGGTAATTTTTTTTTCGATTTTTAAACATGATGTTGGCAGGTGCACACCCAAAACATGCATACATTTACTCTTATATATGATCTTATTTAATTGAAGTCAACTATTTGTATCATGTAACTTAAAGAGCTTCTTAAATATTACTTTGATCATTATTTATTGATAATTCTATTACAAGTAGGAGAATCACTTAACTTGTTGCATAAATCAACTATGAGGATCTCATAGGTGATTGATGCAAAAGTGTTGCACTAAAATTATTAACTGATAATACAATGTTATTAAATCATAACTTATAAAAATCTTATGTAACAACTTTATAAAGTTTTTATATTATGGTAATTAATGTGTTTACATATAATGTCTTTTTTCATAACATATTTTTTATGTTTTAATTGTTCTTATATATTAAAAATGTACTTTTTCATAACATAAATTTTATGTTTCAATTGTTCTTATATATTACAAATGCACCTTTTTTGGAGAAGGAATTTCA